ATAGGACTATGTAGCTTTCAAGTAAGCAATGTTAGAATGAGTTGTAGAGTTTTATTTATGCAAATATAGTGAGTGACAGATGGCAATTACATGAGGCTATTTGAACAAAGATGCACAAGCCTAAACAATTTCACCTAGGTAAAATATTGATGTCATAACTAAATCATGGCCCCGTTTCATAAAGGTTACTATATTCTACAGAGACTGAAGAGGTGGCCTTTCTATCCCAGCTTACCCTATTCTTGTTATTGTTTAAATTCTCCTGAAGCTTGTGTAACTAGCTGCCATTAGACAAATGCTATTGGCTAGCAGAAGACTGCGGTTCTGTTAATACTAGAACCAGCAGGGGGAACTTGACATTAAAAATCTAGGAACAGAATTTTAGGATGTATCTCATTAGAAACCTGAATTGTATAGGGACTTAAGTAAAAACCATCCCAAACAATGTGAGCTTTAAGGTGATAATGTCTTTTCAGAGATCATAACACATGAAGAACCCATGGACACTACATACATGGACACTACATAGAATATGAACAGTTAGCAGAAAAAGATCTCATGACTAAAGTGGGGAAGACATCAAAAAAAAATTTACAAAAGGAAAAAAGTTCAGAATACAGGAATATTTACAAGATGTTAAAAAATTATTAATCTTCAGCCAAAATGAGGCCCTTCGCATTCCCAAAACCTTTGCTTTCTTCTCCTTTCGTTCTTGCTCGCGTTTCTTCCGTTGCTCTTCCTTTGTCTGGAGATGGGGTTGTTTGTAAGTTTTCTTGTAGAAGTTAATTCTGTTGACATGTTGATTTAGATAATTATTTTCTTTAGATTGCCCCCATGGTTTTAGCTTTCCTTTGTGTGGTTCATAGTTGAGGGGACGAGACAAACTTGCTTTAAGATCAAACACTGGTTTCTTATTGGAGACTGGAGTCTGCGTTGCCTCAGTTGTCAACTTGAATGGGGTAATAACTTTTGGGGTGCCCCCAGACACGGTCACATGTGCAGACTTTCTGGCTGGAATCTTGGTCAGTGAACGCTTATGCTCATTATCTTTAGTTGCAGCTGAAAACCTGACACCTGTTTTAGCTGCAGAGATAGCAGAGCGCTTGAGTGACCCCTTCAGACCCAAGGTACTCTGACTTGCAGGGCCACAAGACCGGCCTTGCGAGTGTCGTTGGCCGATGGGAGTAGAAGCCACAGAGAGTCTGCCTCTTGGAGGTACTGGAGTCCTGACCCCTCCCTTATTGATGGGATGCTGCTTCAGATCATTCATGGAATTGTGTTCTTCAAAATATTTCTTTTTTCTCTCAATATATTGATTGATGGACTCCATTTCCTTAAAATGAGCTTCATGAAGCTTCTTAAAGTTTGGAGTAGGAGTAGTGATTGCAGTTCTTTTATTTTTTCCAGGTTTGGATGACTCATCTGTGTAGACAGATTTCTTTCTTTTTGAAGGTACCTTTGAATCTTTGTTACCTGAGGAAACAGCATTCTCAGCTCCTTGGTGCTCATCTGGTGGAGAAGGAACATTTGCAGTAGCTCTGAGATCCTGGTTTTCCTGCTTTTCATGATTCTGGAATTCAGTGGGATTACTTATTTTTATCTCTGAATGATTCTGCTGCGAGTCAGGGTCCACACGGACAGTCCTGCGCCTTCTCCTTGTTTTGGTGACATGGCCAGTTGGCTCTCTCTCAGCTTGTTCCTGGTTGCTGATCTGTATCTCAGTCTCATCACAAGAGGATGCAGAAGTTTGACTTTCATCCTGATTCTCATTTTCTTTTCTTGCCTCATGTTTAACGTGGCCTTTCAAGGCTTTTAACAACTTGTCTGCCCACAGGTTGGCCCGGAGACCCAGACTCTTGGCTAAGTTCTGCAGGTCACTGTACTTGAGGAAGTCCAGCTCCTCTAGGGAGGGGATGACCATCGCGATTCAAAATCCCGGCGATACGCAGAAGATGGATCACCAAACCTCGTAGGCGAAGTTCAAATCCCTGGCGCTCTTTCTTTCTTTTCTTTCCTTCTTTCTGTCTGTCTTTTTTTTTTTCTTTGATGAAGTCTTTCTCCTCTGTCCCCCAGGATGGAGTGCAATGGCATGATCTCAGCTCACTGAAACATCTGCCTCCCAGGTTTAAGCAATTCTCTTATCTCAGCCTCCCAAGTAGCTGGGATTACAGGTGCCCGCCAACAAGTTCAGCTATTCTGTTGTTGTTGTTGTTGTTGCATTTTTGTACAGATGGCATTTTACCATGTTGGCCAGGCTGGTCTTGAACTCCTGACCTCAAGTG